TTTAGATGCGTAGATAGAGTACCTCCTGGTGAACGAAACCTGGGGCAGAGAAGTGTATAAATTTCAGGGGGCAGAGAAGTGTATAAATTTCATTAAGTAATTGATTTCAATATCTGGCATTTTTATTTTAAAATTTAAATTTGTTAAACGTTTTTATAAGATTGCGAAGCAATATGCAATGGAACTGCGAAGCAGTACTGGGGTTGGCGAGCGTAGCGAGCAGGGGGTGGAGCCCCCTACTATACTTTAATAAATATTTATTACATATTTAGCCATAATGAATTTAAACCTAAAATTGAAATTTTTTATGGATGACCCAGTAATTTCAATCTAATTTAAAAAATACATTTATTAGCTGTTGTTTCAACAATTAAATTATAATTTTCAGGCGATGTAATTAGAACAAGGTTAGAACATTCTAGTTAGCTTTTAATTATTATCCATGAAGTACTTCATACAACTAAATAAGATTCTTTTCACAACACTTAAATATTTACTTTATTTTCTTCATATATACAGAGAACAATCGGCAAAGAATTCTGTTAGGTTAAAAAAACATTTCGCTATAAAAGAACGAATTCTAAAAGAAATAAAAATAAACAACTTAAAGAATAAAATGCTGTTGCCAGCCATAGAATTTCTTGAAAGTCAACTTAGAAATGACAAACCAAACGATGTTAACAAAATGACGTAGAAAGCGTAACTAGATCAAAATTATACTAGCGCAACTAGATCAAAATTATAATACCTGAGCGCTAGACGTAACAATCTAAGTTGCACATCGCGACACAACTTAGTGAATTTATTTAGCAGGAATTAGTTATAAAAATATGTTTAAAAAATTTGCGAAAGCTCAAATTCGTCCGAAGATTCACATATTTATAGTCTTTCTATTTATTTATTTTCGAATTAATTCAATATTGAACTGATACGCTTATTCATTGATTAGCTTATTCACAGATTCACTCCTTCTCAACCTTACCCAGTGCGGGTCACTGATCCCTCTCCGATTTATCGATTCCTTCACAGACTTATAGCTGTATTGCAAATTTATCGGTCCATCTAATCACTCATTTATTAATTCATTCATTATTTCATTTCCTATAGTTCTAATTTATAGTGATTAGTTTATTTATTTTTATTGATTAATCACTTACGAATACAAAATGCCTCATGTTAAATAACTTTCGACTGAAATATATTAAATGGTGTAATATTAGTAAAACAAGGATCATTAGAAATTAATATAGTTAATCACCGTACAAATATCTAAAAACTTTGCAATTTTTCAACATGAGACAATATAATTTTTAATCTAAATATTGATTATCACACAAATGCAAAATGAGAAAGAAGAGCTTTTACAGGCCGGAATACTCCTAGAGTATACTTACTACAGAGTATGTATATGTACTAATACAATATGTAATAAGAGTCTAACGCATTGAAATCAATTCTTTGTGATTTTGAGCAGCTAGAGTGCGAAAATTTTGATACGTTGGTCAGTGAAGGGAGAATCACGCGATTACCTTAAGGGTTTAATAACAATATAAGAGAAGATCTCACTAATTTTATCTTTCAATAGTTTTTTTTTTCTTCTTTTTTTTTAACTTTAGAGAATTGCATACCTATATTTTTTAATCATTTTTAGCATTGTCCTATTAAATTATCCGAAATTTAAAAACCTTTTTTTACGATCATCATTCAACTATGATTATTTGCATCTTATTAGTCAGTGTAATACATAGATCGCGAAAAACTATATATTGGCAAAATTTGAAATTTTAGCTAATTATTATTTTATAGCAAGATCACACGATTTTAACCCAGGTTTTTTTTAGCAATACTACGTGAAGAAATATTAAGTGAAAAGGATTGAAGGATAAATACTAAATAAAATTTTTAAAAAAATGAAATAAAACAATAAATTATGTGACCGGACCGCACCTAGCTGCGTACCGCGTGCTGTGCAGGCCTTTTCTGTATCATTTGGTGTAACTGAGTTAATTCTGTATTTTTTTTTCGAATAATGGTGTTGAAGTTAGCATAACAACAAATAAAAAACATCAAATAAAAAAGTATACCAAGTAAATTAAAAGGAAATATCATTGAATATTTTAGACTTTATTTGCGGAAATTTTTTAAGGTACGAATACTATTTTATTTTTGAGATAATGATTATAATTTGCAATGGTTATCCAAGTTTCAAACTACTATGCAAGTTTACACGCAGTTTCTTAAAAAAAATTTCATGTTTTACACAAAAGTTTCTTTGCTTAAAACACTGTCGTGTTTTTTTTCTTTTTATTTCATCCAGTCATGTTTAAAATTTAGGAAGTTTTGACTCTTAACCGATTTACTAAAATGAATAAAATTGGTAGTTTTGAAGATAAATATTACTTACTATTAATTCTTCTTATTACTTACTTATAATTATTACTTATTATTAATTATTCTACAGTATATAGAGCAAAAAATGATCCTCCTGCATACATTTTTGGGTATTTTCTGACTACAATTTTCTGCATTGTAGACTGATCGTGGGTTAGAGTCCCCTTGCCGTCCAGCTAACCGAGGGAGGTTTTCCTGATTTTCCTCTCCATGTTGAAATTTACGAAATAATTAGTAGTGTGCAAACTCAGTCTACATAAACAAGATGAAAATTGCAAGCTTAACTTTATTTCATGCTAAAAATTTATAAACTTAACAAATTATTAAAAAGAATATTGATGAGAAGCAGAATGCAGTTCTCATTGAATTGGATTGATCACAAGTTTTAAACAATGCAAGAAATGATAGGTGCTAACATCGTTTCATTCCTTTTCATTTTTTTCCTTTATTTATTTTATTTTATGTATTTATTTATTATTATTATTTTACGCATGTGCCCTCTTAAGTTAAAGGATCCCCCCCTTTTTTTTGAGTTTAACTTATTAGTGCAACAGTGTTCTTGGAGTTATTACATATTTCTTTAGAATAATTTCAAAATTAATATAATAATTGTTGAACAGAGCTGTTTGCTAATCATTTTCAATGGTTATGATGTTCACACAAAGCAAATATTCAAGACTTTTATTAGAAAACTCAAATTCAGTGACAAAAATATTTGTTTTGTGCATTTCATACATTTGTACATGACAAAAACATTACATTTTCTACATTTACTTGTATATAATGGTAAAATTGTTTTTAATTATTTCGTAAGGGTCTATTTCTTATTTCGTTGCGAGATAACTTTGGCTGAAATACGATATAAATAAAATAAATAAGAGATTTTAGGAAATAAGATGATTAAAATAAATTTACAAATTCAATTTTAGCAAATTATTATTCTACAGCAAGCCTGCACAACTTTTGCCCGGTATTTTCCTAGTAACTCCCAATTTTTTGGCTATAGCAGCGATGCCAACTTGCTCCGGACAGCAAATAAATATTTTAAAGTGGTAGTTTATCAATTGTGATTCTTGGTTTAATAAATTCAATTCAGTAGATTTTTATCCACCACTATTTCTAAATAATTCGTAGGCTTATATAATTCACCACTTTACAATACTTATGTAAGGCTATGCCTTTGAAAAGCAAGCAAAAATAGTCATATATTTGCACACTTTACTTTGTAGTTAGTTACCGTTTTTATAATTATTTTGGCGTGTCCGGAGCAGTTGGCATCTCTGCTATAGTATGCCAACAATCATTAAATAAAAAGAAGGACTATTATTAAGGCTATATATATATATATATATATATTCTTTTAATAATACGAAAAAGAATATTACTAAAAGAATTTTAAGAAACTTGAATGTGAATGTAATTACTTAAATAGTTGTGCAGATAAATGTAACGAATCATATAACTAAAGACAGATTTTAATTTTTTTTAATGCCACAAAATTTTATTTTAATGTCTTTCTGATTCAGTTGCGACAGAAGTCTTTAACATTCCGCCAAGTCCTATGCTGTAAACTTTTCTCAGATGAGATACACCTAGGAATCGCGTCTGCCCCTGGTAACTTGCCTCCTGTTATGTAATGTCCTAAATGTTTTTCAACTGCCTCTCTTCGATCATCGCTCCGTATTTTCTTTGCCTAACTTGACTTGACACCTAAAAACAAAACAGTGTGTAGTACATATTTGGCTCTCGAAAAGTTTTTTCTTGGCAAAAAAGATTTCGTTTCAAAATGTATCATCAAAAATGTAAAAGAGTTCTCGTAAACTACATCATGGATGTAAAAGTATGTTTTAAATCGATCATAAAAAAAGTATTAATTTAAAATATTCTGATATGTCTCGAAATTTATAAAATTATTCATTAGAAACTGAATACGCCTTTCCTTTGAGTCCATCTACCCTAAACATTTAATGATTTCTCTACCTAAGTTTTAATGAGATTCAGATATAAAATCCTTGATCTGAAAATGTATAAAAATATTAGTATTTTATAAAATTATTTAAAAATGTTTTTTCAGGAAAAGTACTAGTACTGGAAACATATTTTAGTGCATATATATATATATAAATGTATATATATATATATAGAGAGAGAGAGAGACAGAAATTGAAGTATTATGTAAGAATGGATTTACCATGTTTGGATTTAGGAGAAGAGTAACCAACAGATTTAGGAGAAGAGTCATTGTCACTAATTTCATTTTCTGAACTGATACTTTTTTTTAATGGTGGGCACTTGGGGATTGTTCCATTGGTCACAGAAATGCCAGAACTGCTACTCACTTCTCGTTACCCAGTGGGAACTTGTGGCGAAGCCACTGCGGTGGAACAACATCGCCCACGTCACACAACCACAAACCTGTTTATAGGGCGCGTCACATTCACACACAAAAGAGAAGAACATAGAACGCAGAGAGAGAAATAAATATCCATGCCCTGAGCAGAATTCGAACCCAGAACCATTGGCTCCGCAGTCAGGCGAACTTATACTATCTAAAAGAATAATTTCATTTAATTGAAAATAATAATAATATTTGTATTGATCAGGTCTAAATTTTAGTTCAATCTTACAAAATCGTATACAAAACATCGACAAAAATAAATTTTAATTTTATTTTAAAACTATTTCAGTTTCAAAAATATCTGAAATTTAAAAAATCTCTTAATCACACAACATATGATGATCTGTTTAAATTATTATTTTACGATCTTTACAAAAAAAGAAAAAAAATTTGATGAGTTTCATGTATTTTAAAAATATTTATCGAAAACTACGTACATCTAGAATGTGCATATTTAAACACTAATTACAAAATTAATCATTGAAAATTCAGATAAAACCTGAATGAATTTTTCGTACTGTTGCGAAATTAATCTCTTTAAAGAAACAGGTTTAACGAGTTCGCATCGAAACTAAAAATTAAAAAAAAAAAAAAAAGATTTTAAAAAACAAGTTAGTTTGTTTACCCTTTTTCTTTCCATTGAAATTTTTTCCTTTCTGAGACCAGCATGGTATAGTACTTAGTAAATTTCCCTCTTCTAAATCAGAATTAAATAAAATAATTTTTGCATAAAACTAAGTCTAGAGAAAAATAAATTATGGAGCTTTTTAGGCAATTGTTTTAACGAGTTTTTATAGAAACTGAAAAATTTTAAATAAATAGATAATATAGTTCTTATAGAAACTGAAAGATCTGAAATAAATAATAAAAATTAATTTTTAAAATTCAAATAAACTGAAAATTCTTATATAAATAATTAATCGCTTCAATACTTTAAAAATATTCAATCCTTCGTTTTTTTGTCCTATCTGAGGCAAATATGGGACATGACATGATGAATTTCTCACTTCTACATCTGAAATAAATAATAAATGATTAAACTTTTATTTAACTTTAAAAATGCAAACCTTTAAAAAAAAGTATGAAATACCCAGTAGAATTTCAGTTAAATATTTTTGTGACATAAAATTACTACTTTTTTTAACACTAATTAACGTAGATTTAAGAACATTTTATGTATACAAGCTTATTTTTAAAGTTAAAATTTTATAGTACAGACGCATCTATACCTTTATTTTTTTCTTCAAATTTTTTTCCTAAAAAGTAGTCATCATCTTCTTCTGAATCTGAAATAAATATTGCTTGATTCAATCTAAAATTCATTTTTTTCTTATGACTTTTTGAATTAGATTTATAGTAAAATTTATTACCGTTATCCAATGAAAACTGGATTTCATCCAAGGTTTGACCACCCTCTTTATGCAGGTTCCCTTGATCTAAGAAAAGAAGCAGCTTTGATGTCTTGGCGATTTGGATGATATCGTTAGGCAACCGGTAGAATTCTCTATGTATTCCTATATCATGCCCCATAAATGACGCAAAGGAATCCATCTCACGTTTTTTTTTTTAAATTAATTATCTGCGAAAGTAAGGCAATTTGTTTTCTCAGTTTAGTAGACCTTAAACTATCAGGGCGAGATGCTCCACATTCTTCAGAATATTTGCGGAGACAAGCCGTTCCCTGATAGTGATAGATTTGAATGGCTTGCAAATAAGTTATTAACCCCAGCTCTGTTCTGCAAGCACACTTCAATCGCTTTACGGACAGATGGTGTTAGCAAAACTGGGACAGTTCGATCCCCCTTCCCTTGTATTTCCATCCTTGTCAAGATTTTACATAGAGCTCTTTCATTTTTTGAAAGATTCTTTCCTATGTCAGACCTTTCGGCTGAGCTTTTGATTTTTTTTAAAGTCCTCTATTTTGATTCTTGACACTTCTCCCTCTCTCCTTCGATTGAATACTATGATTTGTTTTAAAGTCACTTTTTGCAACTCCGAAAAAGCGGAAAGTATTCTGTGGTGGAGACTATCCTTATCTTCGAAGGCATTCCTCTGCCTTCGATGCGATGGAGGCATTCCTCTGATTTAGTTTTTTAGAAAAGAGTTCAGTTTTAAGACATCTGAGCTAAGAGGAATAAGCTCTTCTTTATTTTTCTTAGCTTTATTTCGAATTCGCTTGGCTTTAGCACCGATTTCAGTTATAAAGTTCAAATAAGAGTTCAGTTTTAAGATATCTGAGATAAGAGGAATAAGCTCTTCTTTATTTCTCTTAGTTTTATTTCGAATTCGCTTGGCTTCAGCACCGATTTCAGTTATAAAGTTCATATAAGAGTTCAGTTTTAAGATATCTGAGATAAAAGGAATAAGCTCTTCTTTATTTCTCTTAGTTTTATTTAGAATTCACTTGGCTTCAGCACCGATTTCAGTTATAAAGTTCATATTGAAGAGGGTCCGCCCTCTCCCGTAGAATTTTGTCTCCTCTCTCAATCGACATCCCCACTACAATGGAGGCACAAGCTTTGATATGAATGCCCAACTTTCGAGCTAGCTCAGGAGTTGATCTGCAAGATGCAGAGAAGCTCATTCCTGATATTATTTTAATAGATTCAACAATGTTTTTAAATTGGGCTGGATCAATTACGTCCATTATGGAGCATGAATTTTTATTTTTTACTTTCCTCATCTGTAAGAGTAGTCTTCCCATTTCCCTCGCATTATTGCGTATTTCATTTTGTCGATGAGGTTGGTCTCCTTTTTTGTGATATAACCTCCGAATGTACTCAAGAATGACATAGTCTGTTCAAATTGCGAGGGAGACTTAATCTTGCCGCATTCTGGTCAGTAACTGTTTAATATTTTCAGCCACTGCATTGTATGTGGGTATTAGCATTCGTCCTTCACTTAACAGCCTTGCACCAGGTTGTATAAATGGGCACTTATGCTTCCAAATGTCTCTTTTCGCATACCACCCAAAACAACCTGGGCACGGTATATAGTTTTCCGGATTTACTGATTCTTTAGGTCGATAGGCGACTATAAGATCACCTTTCCCTTGTTTCATAACCTCAATGTTATGTTTAGGCGTCTCTCTATTTCTTAATAACATTAGTTGGTCATCTCTTCTTTTTTTTTTTCTGTTCCATTCGATTTAAATCTCATTAAGAACTGGACTGAATACTTTCGAAATGACGAGGTAGTTTTGAAAATTGATTCCCACAAAATATGTAATGCTTTTTATCCCACTTTCTAAGATTATCAATGTTATTAGTAGACACAACATTTATATGATTTTGATTTTCTTCTTCGTTTTTACGGTACATTTCTGTACAAGTGAGATCATCTTCCGAGTCCGAAAACGCATAATCGGAATAAACACTTTTATTTTTTACTGAAGTGATCAACATCGAAATCTGATCATTCATCCGAAATGATATTTTTAGAATAATTCTTTTCACTTTTACTATGATTCTCAGAAATTAAGGGGAAAATGCATATTTAGATTTAATATACAGATTACAGGATAAAAACAAGAACGTAAATATTTTACATGTTTACACTTAAAAATAACTTTGCGCATAACTTCAACTAAAACAAAAATAAGAGGACATTTAACTGTTAATTATTTGATTGATTTAATTGTTGATTTAATTGTTGTAAGATTCGGGCACTTGCTCAGTGATTCGTATAAATCCTATTCTTTATAAATATTATTAAAATCTCGAGAAGAATTTAGAAGAACAAAAGCCTACTTTCCTTTGCATACTTCTGGTTAACAGCCCCATAGTCGAGTAGCTACTTTAATAGATCATTACGTGAAATCGTGCTCCAAAAATGAAATATTTCAATAAATGAAATCGTTAGAATACGTTTTTAGGGTTTTTTGCAATTTTAGATTTTAAATATTTTTTTTTTTAAATTTTGCATTCTTTCTGAAATGTCATGAAAATTATAACTATCAAAAAGTAAAAAAAATTAATAAAAGAACACGCGAAAAATCGCCAATTCTAGATGACTCATTTCCGGAATCGAGGACACATTTTTTTGAAGAAAAATAGAAATAAAATTGAATTATTTCTTGTATAAACTAAGTAAAAATTAATTCCAAATATAAACCAGGTTAAAAATTATATTTTTAAATCCAATGATATTTGAAAAAGAATAAAAATAAAGGGACTTTATTTCGAAATTACTTAAAAAATTTGCTTATTTGAAAATAGAAAATGACCGGGATTAAAAGATTGGTTAGTGAAAAACATATCGCACTTAATTTTAAAATTATGTGGGCTGAAATTCCATCAGATCCTGCAAATACACAATCAGTGCAAAATACACAATTACGAATACAAAATCTTTAAAATTACAAATGATAATAAAGTTTTTTACTTTATTTCGTTATTAAAGTAAAGTGGGTTTATTAGGATACTTATGCATGATTGTATAGAAGTATTTTTTTTTATATCCAAGGTCCTTACTTATTTGTTCTTTCAGGTATGTTCAGTAGAAGATTAAACTCGAGAAGGAAGCTGACAGTTGAAGACATTAAAATTATGTGGGCTGAAATTCCGTGAGATCCTGACAAATCTGAATGCAAAATATGCAATTACGAATACAAAAACTGCAAATGATAATAAAGTTTTTTTAAAATTTATTTTGTTATAAAAGTTACTTTCATTTTAATTCTAATTGATCCTTGAATCGTTAAAAAATTGAGAAGTACATGAATGACACATGTCTAATCTCTAAAATAAACTAACTTACAAAGAGAAAAAAATGCAATTTTCTAATTAAGAGTCTCAGTATCGGTGTATCGAATTCTTTTAAAAAAAAATTTGCTAAAGTCACGAATGCATGCAGGAAAGTCCGAGGTGGTTCCACAATCACTTCCAATTCGTTACAATGGAAAATATTCCACAATTCACACTTTTCTAATACCCATAAATACACCGAGGACAGCCTAATTAATAATAGGTAGTTCTGTCACTATTTCTTTATTCCTAATGAATTCATGATGTCTCACGCGTATTGAGTGGTAAAGCCACAAGTAATAGTAGTTTGATTTTTTCCTCCACGCTTTTGTTATTCATAGACTCACTCTCACAGAAATAATGTTAGTTTTTAAAATTCAAAAAAGCTAAACACCTTTATTTTTATTGATTTCCTGGGAATAGAAAAAAAAAGAAATTCGATCCTTATTTTTAAATGTGTAGTTCAGTTCAGATGTTCTAACGGCTGTTGGCTGTTAAAATAATTCGGTGTGTATTTGGAAGAGCAAACGGGACTTCATGCATCAGTCGTTATAATTGTAGGTTTGTAGTATTATGGAGCAACATACTGATGAGCGTAGACTATATATATATGAATATATGAAATAACGGTGTATCCACACCGATATTTTTTAATTATTTAAAAGTCAAAGCAGCATGATTAACGAGTCCAGTTTCGGCATAATCTTTTATTTTACTAAACGATGGTGAAATAGCAGTTTCACCCCTCTCCAGCCGGAGAGGGAGTGAGACAGATTTTCAGTCAGATTTTAGTTGGTAAACATTATACACCAAAAAGCCACGCAAAAACATTTGCTCCTCCGTTTTATAGGATGATTAAAAGTTGTGAAGAGGCCAGTCATTATTGCCTTTTCTGTATTCTTACGCCTCATCGAAATTATTTATTACTCATATAAAATCGTTTAATCTTTCCTTATATGGAAGTGAAAGATCTTAAAATAACTTCTCTTTTGAAATATAAATCTAATTATTATTCATTGGCATGTTTTTAGCCTTGAAGTCCCAAAATAGAATTTCTACCCTTATCCTTTACTAAAGATATTTAATGAAAA